TTTTTTTTTTTTTTTTTGTGGAACAAGAGTCTCCATGAAATGCAACCTTTCAAGAAAATGGAGACGGAGGATTTGTTCCAATAACCGGTCCCATTTGTTAAGCTTGGCGACATTTTGCAACTTTAGTATTTATTTTCTTTCTTTTTTCTTTTTCCTCTTTATTTCCCTTTCATTTTTTTTTCTATTATCTTTCTTTTCCATTTTTCTTCTAATTTCCCCGTAAATTAACTTCTTAGTTTTCAAACGAAAAAAAAAAAAATAATAAATATCGTTAATATAATTGAAACTATTCATAATTTAACTCTTTTATTTCGAATTCGAAATCCTTGATCCCTTGATCAAACGCAAACACGTAACTTTTGCTTCTTCACAAATTTACATTGAACGAATAATGTTGAAATTTTCAGATCTTCCATACTGCTGCACCCTATATAATCCAATGGATTATATTCGATCGGGGTGAAAGGATTGAATAAGAAAGGAATTCATCGTTCTCGAAACACATTCTCTTTACAAGAAATTTCACTTTCAAATCGAAAGGAACCACCCCCTCGCGAATTTTCAATCTCCCCTTTTATCTATCCATCCAGATTCACCTTCGTCTCGAATAAATACCGATGAAAAACGAATCGTCGAAGGATAATCGGGGGACGAATTAAACCCGGCGGATCATCAAACGGTCCTCTTTTTTCTCTCTCTCTCTCTCTCTCTCTTTTCGATTCTACGAATCGAATTCGCTCAAAGGTTGAATAGCCGACTTCGCTCGCACGTATCCAATCGTTTCCGGTTCCTGAGCGGCCAATAAAACTTTCGGCCCGAAATGCAAGCGAGCCCGACCAAGGAAATCGGTTTCCTTCGCGAGAAGTGAGCAAACGCAAGGAAGGAAGGAAGGAAGAAAGAAAGAAAGAAAGGAGGGAAAAAAAAACGTTAATCAACTATTTCCATTTACGCTTCGAATAAAATCGGCTCGCCGCCGCCGGTCCCAGTCAAAGAATTTCAATTCAATCAGAGGATCAGACGGCGACGATGGGATGGAGACGAGGCTTTCTATCTCTCTCTTTCTTTCCTTTTTTCACTTGGGCACCGTGTTACTCTCGAGTCCAAAGTAGGGCGCTCTTTTCACGAGCAAACGCTCGGAGAAACGGCTGGAAAAGAGCGACCAAAGAATCTGCATGTGATCGATACGCTTCGTGTTTTCGCGCACGATGGATCTCGCGTGGGGAACAAAGATGAAATTTTGTAAGAAAAGAAACGATGTTTAGAAGAAGATTTGGAGCCAGACGAAAAATTGGCAGGATGAAAGATATAATTAGAAGAGAATTTTCAGCACAAAAATTAGAACAAAGTAAAATTAGAAGCGAATTGTTTTTCGATTCTTGGAAACAGAAGAGATGATGCGTACCAAACATTTGTTTGTTTTGTAGAATTTAAAACTTAAAAGTTTATGAAAGAGGCGTTACGAAATCTCGAACAATCAACGCCTGCTCACAGTTTATTATAAGATAAGTTGGAACAAAGTTTTATTTTGTTTCGATGAATTATCACGTACCGTTATTTATTCGCAATGTTATGACTCTATGGATGAAGTGTAATAAATGGCGCGTGATCCTTTCGTTTGGAATGAAGACAAAATTAGAAAGATGGAATGCATCGTCAAATGCATACTAAACGAGCTAACTCAAAATATCCGACTTATTTATATATACACATCGTATAAATCCTTCCTTATTTCAATCTTTAAAATCCCCATTTGCTCTCCAATAAATCAAATTCACTCAAATTCCAAAGAAACATTTACATCCTCTCATCATCCTTCCCTTTCTCCCTTTCGTATCCTTTTGTATATATTCTCCAAAAAAAAAACTATAATAAGAATCCAACAAATCTCTGGAGAGCCTCGCACGAAATTTTCGTATTCAAACAGAGCGACATTCATCCATCCATTTTTTCTCCAATTCGTCACTACCTGCACGCAACAGTAGTTAACACTTTTAACGATCAGAACACGCTTCGACTCTTGTTTCTTGCGAGCGAAAGCGTTCATCGGGCGACGCGTTATTCCCCTCCCCATCCCCTTTAATTGCCCGCCGCGAATCGAGCGGAGAAGGAGCGAGGAGAGACAGGGGGAGACCCCGGAAGTTC